CCCAAGATGCGCGGGATGTTCCGCTTCATTTACACGCGAAGGCCCTGGTTTTTCCCGAATTGCTGAGTAACAAAACCAAGAACCTGTTTATTCGCGCGGAAGTTCCCAAGGGCTTTCGGAAAACTCTGCGGAAATTGCGTCTCAGTTCTGGTGCTAATTAGTAATGAATTTTTTTTGCGTAGAAAGCGATTTTGAGAACAGTTCAGTCGTTTTTTTTTATGGTTCCCGGAGGTTTTCTATTTTTCCGAACGATGTTGATTGGTTTTTTTGTTTTCGCAGGAAGTTCGCTTGTTTTTGCATTCAACGTGGAATCCGTGTGAAGTGCCTAAAATGATCGTTCGCGGAATAAGCGGAATTCATTTGGTTGCCTTTCGTCAATTGTTCTAAATCGCAGTTGTTTTAAAGCTATTGTATCTTATTCACGATTTTGAACTGTTCCGTTTTTGAAAAATGGGATTATAACCTAAATCGCGTAAAACCTAATCTCAAATTAGTAAATTTCTTCACTGTGAATGCAGTGGTACGATGATTCAAAAACGAAAAGAAATTCAAAATAATGTGTCTTCACAGTGAGTATATGTCTTTACTGTGAATGCAGTGGTACGATGATTCAAAGGCGAAAAGAAATTCAAAATAATGTGTCATCTGTTCATTTAATGTACAGTGAATGATGTCCGAAAGGTTTTTCTGCAGCGAAAACCTTCTTCAGGAAATTCGTGGAATGCCCTTTAAAGTTGTCTCTTAAAATTCCTCCAGTGTGGGTAGATGTTATTAGTCTAACTATCTAAGTTATGTTTCACGTTTTTATTGTACTGTCATGTGCAGTTTCATTTGATTTCAGGTTTTTCTTTTTTTTTTCTGCACGCATGGACGTTCTCTTAGGAAAACGCATTAGATTCTGCGTGGAATTTTCAGGAGTATTGTACCGTACTGTGAAGTGAATCAATTTTTGTATTTTTTTTTCTGAATCAAGTGCATTTTTGAAAACATCTCGGTACTTTTCACATCGATTTTCATGCACGCATGCGTGTTTCGAGGAATCTTGTTATTAGAAAAGTATGCAGCAAATTTATTTTCCAGGTCCCTGCCCAATAGCAACCATGTTAATCAAACCGCTTTACACCAAATTTAGTTTTATAACAAAGCGTTTTCCCCCGGTCCGAGCACCTTCTCTATTATGAGATTTTACTTAGTAAGCATAACAGTAAATTCCCTTCGTTTTCGCGTCACGAAAACGTTTTTTTCTCCAAATTATTTAATTCCAGATTACTATTATTATTATTTCTTGCTGCGTCATTCACAGGAGGAAAACGACGATGCCTACCTTCCCTTATTTCCAAATTCCGTCCGTCGTTTACTCATTCCGGTCGTGATTTCGAATTTCGTGTGGAAAAAAAAACATTTATTTCAGAAGTGCTGTACCGAAAAGAACTGGACTTGAAAACGGAGAAGATGAAAACATGACACTGTATAATGCGGACTTACAGCAGTGCTACGTTCGCCGTGCTGAGTGCCGGAACAGCGCTTTGTCGCCTTGTCGCGTCCCGAGTGGAAGCTTCCCGTTTAAGGAGTCTGGGTCATCCGTGTCGCTTCGCGTCTGCGTTTTTCGGTGGTCTTGGTGGCATGAGTTTACGAGGCCAATCGGCGTACCAGCTTCGACCCACTGCTGGAATCATAAGTGAGCGGTGGATGAATTTACAGGGAATATTCCGTTACGACGAATCCCGGGAGCGTTTGGGGATAATTCTGTGTAAACGAGGGGTCTAATAAAAGTTCTCGAGATAGAAATTGAAACTGCATATGATTTAGCTGAAGAATAACTATTTTTTCAGAAAAAAATAGTATTTGGCACAAGAAAATAATTTTCATTGCAGTTTGACTGTTGTATTATTATTTTTTCTTCAAGAGAAACCCTGGCTGCTTTCTTCTCTTTACTCAAAAGATGAGGCGCCCATCTTGCAGATTTTTTGGTGAAGCACAGCTTTGTCTTCAGAATTCTTGACATTGACGTGGCATTAATTATGAGATTCACCTCCATGGCTTCCGAAGTATTTTCGTCAACCGTTGCCACATTATCATCTCAAGTGGCGGCTGTTGATGAAAATCGCAAAATTAATGACAGAAACCCTTGGAATTAATGCTGTGTCACTTTTAAAAATTCTTGAGGGAAAGCTAGGCCTTAAAAAAGGGCTGTGAGATGGGCGCCTCATCTTCTGAGTGAAAAGAAAAAAACTGCCAGGGTGATTTTTGCAAAAATTTTCCAAAAAATTTCGAACGGGGCTGAATTCGTTCTTGTGCCAAACAATTTTTTTTTCTGAACAATTTAGTGATTGTTTTTCAGTTCAATAAAATGCCGTTTCAAATTATATTCGAAGATCCTTTTTTAACCCCTTGTGTAGGTTGAATCTGTCTCTAAAGCAAAATTCAATGGACTAGAAAATATTTGAGGTAGAGACAATTTTGTTGTAGAGAACCCCCATAACATGGGGAGAGAACCCTATATGCCCATTGGACCGAACATATTTTTATGAAGAGAACATTTTTGTATACAAGATCATTGATGAAAAAAAAAGTCCACTTGTACTGCAATTTGTTTGCCCTGTAGGCAAACATTTTTGTTGGGTTAATGTATCAGTGAAGTGAATAGTGTGCAGTATTACGTTTTCCTCAAAAACGCTTCTTTCACTGAAATTGGTAAATTTGTTGTGAATAGATTGTTGTAAATATTTTCGAATCATCCCGTATGTTTCTTCGAAGAATATTTACATTATCTGCGGATTTGAACATTGTTGCGTTCTTAATCGCTTCTCCTCTTCAAATCCTCTTGTCGAGTTCTAGATTTAGTTCAGTGAATTTTAAGATTTCTCAGAGTTTTTTTTTTTACCACAGTGTGAAGATTTCAAAGTAAACAAGATGCATGCGACGCATATGTAATTGTTGAAACAATTTGGTAGAATGGTGTAATCTTTTTCGGGCGTTTATGTTAGGATTGAAATCTGCTCAATATCAGCTTCGTATTGATGATTAATGCGTTCCTATTAAACCGCCTTTTGAAAGGATATATTAATTTTCGTGCGTCATTACCTTTTTTTTCCAAAAAGGTTCAGTGAAATGTACTGCGTATTTCCGTTTTCAGGTGTCGACGATAGCGGATGATGTCGACGTTATTGCAGATGAGGTTCGTCGGTTCTCTGAGACGTACACATACGTTTTCACATCTGGCGGCATTGGACCGACGCATGACGACAGAACTTTCGAATGTATGTACAGTATTGGTCATGAAAATTGCCCAAGGGCTTTAATGTGTTAGAACTGCGAAGTTGTTGATCATCGTTCTGCCGTTGCTTTTTCTTCAATTAATTTATCATTTATTATTTTGTTTATGTGGAATATTGTTTGCGAAGAGTGAAGTCAAGAAAATATTAGACAGATTTTTCAAGAGTAAATACAGTAATATTTACAGAATTATGAATGCTAGAAAGGTAATGGGCCTCAAAGGAAAGTTCCATTCAAATGCTTTTAAATTTGTTTCTCTTATGTTTCTCTTAGTCATGTTTAACATTTGAAAACATGTAACCTGTGAAAGAAATGTTTGAAATGTGAAAACAAAAAGTATGAATTATGGAAAGCTGATCTCATTTTCCAAGAAATTTCGACTTTATCACAAGTTTGAAATGTTTATATCACAAGTTTGAAATGTTTGAAAATTTTCGTTTTGTATTTTGTGGTTTAAGGCTATTTGAAATGCATGCGCCTAAAAGCTTGTCTGGCATTTAGTATGGATTTTCATTCAGATTGAAATTCCAGCAAGTTAAATTTGAAATGTTTTCATAAGTCCCGGGTATCTGTCAAATTTTCAAGTGAACTGTCGACAATTCAGTGCGCGACACCATACGACTGCATATACCACTCTGGACATTTTCTCAATATGAGATATTAAGGGGAAATTTTACAGCTTTTTATACTGTAAAGTTTTTGCTGTCTAAATTTCTGCGAATTAAATTTTAGCGTAAGTCTCAGTTCAGAAAACAATATTTATGTGTATGGATTTAGAGTCGACTTGGTCGTACATATCAGAAAATATTTACTAGTTGTTATTTCATGAGTAAATACTGTATCAGTAAAATGGTATTTACTAATGTATTTACTAAGTACAATTATGTTCTTTTCCGCTTCAGAGGCCATGAAGTCAATATTTTTCAACGAATATTTGCGAAAATTTGTTTGTCCACAGGGAGATTGATCTGCATGGATTGTGGAATCGCGAGTTTTCTGAAATTTTAGCTTTGTCATCCGCAAAGTCATCACAGACACGCCTTGAATTCATTCTGATCTAAGTTCTTATCCTGGAATCTGAATGATGTGCAGTGGGGCCCCGAGATGCTGACGTAATTGATGCTTGAACCTTGTCCCTATGTCGGAACGTCCGCTTGACGGATACGGTTTTCTTTTAGACTTCAATGGGAATATTTTTAATTGGTTTCCCTGTTGATCAAAAATTAGGAAAAAGTTCCCCGAAGAATTGAAAAAATAAATTTTCTCAACTTCAAGGTACAGTACTGAAAAAACACTGCAGAAGAAAATCACACATAACCTACATTTTTGGTATGAAAAGGAGCCCAGAAAATCGAAGGACAAGCGCAAGTTTTCCGGTACTTTGCGCAGATGAATGGGGAAACGAAGCACAAAATTAGCCTCTTTTGGCTAGGAATTCATAATGAAATTTATCTCTCATTTTTGTGAATGTAAGAAACTCAATTTCTTCAAGAGATATCAAAATTTTGGAAAATAAAATTTTTGTCTAGGTCTGGAAATGTTGGTCAAGTGTCAGTATCTTGAGAATTGTTTTTTTTTTTTTTTGAGTAGATTTTTATGTCCTCCAAAAGTCGAATCATCCATTTGTCGAGTCGTCTGCATGTCGGGGCCCCACTGTATCTTGAATCTGTCTACACGTGGACTGCATTTTTTTAATTGAGCATTTTGAAAGGTTTGATTTTTTCGGACAGCTGTGGCCAAAGCCTTCGATTTACGGCTTGTGCTGCATCCTGATCTCGAGGACTTCTGCCGCGTCTGGTTTAAGACGAGCGACATAACTTCCGTTGTCTTCAAAATGGCAAAGGTTCGCTCTTCTACTTCTTTTAATGGGACAAACATCATTCCTTCTTTTCAGTCTGCGGGATGAAGGATGATTTGAGTTCTGTGCTTGCTTTGGTGATGCTGTATGTTTTTTTTTTATTCTGCTATCCAGTGGCTATTTGTGTTGCCAGCGTATTTGGCTTATTGATTATGTGCGTTTGTTTTCTGGCCTTTTTTTTGAAATACTGTAGTACCGTAACTTGGGCGTCTTTCAAAATAACGCTGCAGTGATTATAATTCCGAATTCCAAATATTGCCTTGGTGCAGTCGGGCTTGAGAAAAAATCCGATTGGATTCCCTCCGCCAAAATGTTTTTCCCGCTCAAACAATGATTCCACTGGAAGTTGATATTATTTGAAGAGGGTGTTTTCGAAAGTTCTTGGGATTTAAAGACATTCACCAGCACAAGCTCTGGTCTTTTTGATTGAATTGCTATTAATTTTAATTTCCTTTTCAAGGTACAGGAATCTACTAGAAGAATCTCATTAAAACATTTTTAAAATGTATTGCTTGAAAACAAAATTTCGAGCCTCTGATGAGGGATTTCTTAGCATTCTCTCTTTTGCGATTTTCCATTACCCATGCTGTGGATTTCCAAAAAATATGGGCAATTTAATTCACTTTTCGAAAAGGAAAATTTGAGACTGTGCCTAATTTAGTTGAAAACTTTGTTTACTGGGAAAATCAAAACATGGTTCCTCCAAAAAGGTGCTATAAAACGATGATTGTAAACATGCAATCTATAGGGATTTTTTTCATGACTTGGGAAATTGTTTGTTATACAGTACTGGGAAATTTGTTATAACAAAATCTTACTTTACTTTTGTTCAAAATTTTATTTTTACTAGCTTTTGAATTTGTATGATCATCGCGAAACTTTCAACTTGGATTGAATTAAAATAGCTTGACTTGAGCTGAATGGGAACTTCTAATTGTTTTTTTTTTTAATAAAATTTAAAGGCTAATGAAAATGTCCTCTCATGATAGCAAATTTTTTATATGTTCCCGAAAATTCTGAAATCCTGTTCTGTTTGTGTTCAACGTGGAAAATGGGTGATTTTTAAACTTTTGAAATGCCCATCCCGATTGAAAGCTGGGCTTGTCATTCCGTGGTGTCACGCAGACACTGATGCCGTAAAAAGAGCGCTGAAAAATATACAAGGGCCTTAGAGTTCGGCAAAATTAGATCCCTTAAATAAAACGAAGCACAAATCGTCCCGCTACACACGAGCAAGCGAGCACATGCCGGCTTTAGTCAGACATGTCTTATCTTATTTAAAGTTTTAGTCAGAAAAGAACCAAAGGAAAAATGTTGACTCGGTAGTGATTTCGCGGAGTAAATGAGTAGAACAGTATTTCCTCCTTTCCCTTCTGCACCTCCTGTCACACTGGGCCAACTACGAACGTCTAGGGCCTTTTAAGCTTTGACTTGATGCCTGTTCACCACGTCCACAGACCCTTCTTCTCGTTCAAGGGTGAGTAGAGCGTGAAGAACGTGTATATGTTTCCCGGTGTTCCGCCTTTGCTACGACGAGCCATGGACATTCTAGCGCCCGTATGTTCACTTCCTTTCTAGGAGAATTTCTTTGATATTTGACTTTTATGTTAATTATCTGGCTGAATTGTATTGGTGCCCTTGCCCGAGTAGAAGATCCTCTTATCTTTTTGTTGCAAAAGTTGACTTGACGAATTCTGGGTGCATCATACTGTATATGTTCTTTTAACAATTTTTTGTGAAAGTTTGTCCAAGAATCAACAGTTTCAAGTACTGTAGCGATCTGTATTCATCCGCATACAGGAGGAATACATGCGCTTGCGGAACTTCGGACGAAGCGATGCAAAATTTTTAAATGTTTTGACTGCAAGTGACATCTGTCCGAACTGGAAAAAAGTTTCAAATCAATGGGCAGTGGAGGAAAACATTTAATTTAACATTTTTCTCGTTTACGTGTTCGTCATATTACCTAGATTGTCTTCTTTTTGGCAGATTCATTGACATTTGCCTGCGTTTTTATCATGATCGAGTGACGCGTGTTTCCTGAGGAGATGTCATTTTATTTTGTTAACCGTTCGCTGAATTTTGCAGAAGCTTTTCCATCACCCGGAATTTTGCACGTGGAATTGCGAACTTTTTTTGGATATGGCGGAGGTGGACGCGGCGCCGGTGCTGAATAAGGCTGTGTCACAGTTTCCGAAAGTTACCTTCGGTTCCTACCCGGTGTTGGGCCACAGCTATTACCGAACCCAAATCACAATCGAGGCGGATGTTCGGGAAGACGCGGAAGCTGCTGAAAAATTTCTTCGGGAAGGGATTTCTAAAAGTAATTACGAATTTTATACATTCTTTCAGTTGTTAAACGGATCCAAACATTGAAACATCCAAAATTTTTAATTCAAGTCCTCGAGTTGCCTTTGGTTAGTCTGGAACAATTTTGGAAGGCGTTCTCAATGCCAATTGAATTCAGCACGTTTACATTTTCTTCGTATGAATGTGGAAGCTCAATTTTGCACTTTCTTGCAAAGGTGGGAACCCAGCGTATTAATTGTACTGAATCTCCAAAATGTACTGTGCAAATTCAGGAGTTCTGATGTGTTTTAAATCTTTTAAGAGAAGCGTACGCAATAGTTGGTTTTGTAAAATTTGTACGATTTCAATAATATAGTACCTATAAATGGTAAATTATTACAACTTCAGGAAAACCTGATGGTACCAGATGAGCCTAAGTTTGTGACATACTTCAAAAGAATAATTGATTTAAGCTAAACATTGAAGAAAACTGTTCGAATAATTTTTTCTCTGAATTCAATAAAGTACTGTACTATGCAACGACAAGATGAGGAATTCATAATTGTGTTGAACTTCGAAAAACTCGATGTGAAGTGACAGTGCCAATTCAGGAGTTCTCTACTCACTTCTACTCACTTCTAAATTTTTAATTACAATCTTCCCACTTGTAATTAACAATACAGCTCTAATATAATTTATTCTAAAATTCTGTAAGAATCCTGCTGTACGGAATGCTTTTGAGCAATGTGAATCCGCAGGGAGTGTTTCTTGTGCAGTATGAAAGATTGCAATTGTTTTATATTCCCAATTATCTGACGTAAGCTCTATTATCAGTTAACCGTGATTCGTATTTTCAACTCGCTTTCTCAGATCAAATTGTTGAATACGATCGAAATCCTTACGAAGACCGATGGGAGAAGCTGCAGAAACTGCTGGCCGATCCGAACAAGAAGGAACTGCATGAACCAATTCAGAAGTCTCTGCAAGTGATCGACAAATGCTACAATCAATTCAAGTGCGTCGCTATTTCCTTTTTTCTTCGAGGTTTTGTCTTTCTTTAGGAACGATCTTCCCACATGCATCAGTTTCAAAATATTTTCCATAGTTTTCGAATTTATCTGGACTAATAAAAATGCTTTTAGCTACTTGATTGACAATCATAAAATTTTACTTGTTGTGTCCTTGTATAGTACAGTATGTTAGAATATTATTTTTGTGGATTTGAGGGTAGTAGGAATTTTCCACTCCGTTTGTATCGAGCGAAAAAAATTTTCCGAATGTAATTCAGTTGTATTCCAATACTCTACAGTACTTAGATGTCGCTTTGGTTTTGTAAGGTGGTTTCTGTTTAGTCCAGGATTGCTCAGGTTATTGCGTAATTTTTCATTTTTAGTTATTCATGCGAAATCTTTCTGCCGTTCCTGAAACACATTTTAAAGTTTCATATCCATGTTTTTCATACCGTATGTACTCGAGTACCACGAGCCATCGAGGAAGACACGCACCCCAAATTTCATCCCAATAATTTTGATCCCCGAGTGATAAACGCTCTCTTTTTTTTCGTTACTGAAAATACCAAATTTCTAAACTAAGGGACATCAGAATTCAAATTTGGACATGAAATCAACCCGGATTCAATTAATTAAAAAAATTTTTTTTTAAGGATTATCTGTTGCAAATTTTCCATTATATCCAAGTTTGACGTGCGCCTGAACTTGTAAAAATTTTTGAAAATTTCATTCCCACCTATTGCGCCCCCCCCCCCCGTTTCCGGGAAGNCCCCCCCCCCCCCCCCCCCCCCCCCCCCCCCCCCCCCCTGGTTTTTTCTCAATTGAGAAAAAACCAGAGAATTTTTTTCTCAATTTTTGAATACGATCGAAATCCTTACGAAGACCGATGGGAGAAGCTGCAGAAACTGGTGAGAAAAAAAATTGAGAAATTCTCAATTGAGGAAAAAAATAAAACAAAGAAATAAAATGCACGTGGTACTCTGGTCAGTCTAGTAAGTACGGTACATTACAGTTCAGTATTTAAAACATGAGAAAATACCGCGGTTAGTCAAGAACCGGTACTGTATCTTGTAAAATTGCTCTCTTCTTATTGATATTTTGATGCATGCTTGAAAATATTGTACTGTACTTACAGGAATAAAGCAATTTATTTATTGTCTGTAGACCAGAAGAAGTGTGCCTGTTTTTCAATGGAGGCAAGGATTGCACAGCAGTACTGCACCTGGTGTCCTGCTTCCTCCAGCACAAGTATCCTAATTACCGACTCACGGCCGTGGACGTGATTGAAGACGACAAAGCCATGTTTCCGCAAGTGCACAAGTTCATCGAGGAGACGGAAGTGAGGTACAATTTGGAGTTGCTCACGTACCGAGGTTCCATTCGTGGCGCCTTGGCGCAGTTGCTCGTTGAGCAGGAGGAAAGGGAAGACGTGGAGGACAGTGTGACCCGGTTGATGCTTGCAGATCCCGGAAAATTCGAAACTGAACTACGGACAAGTGGTGCAGGTGTCTGGGAAGAAGAGCAAGTTCCCACTCATCTCTGTGAAGAACGTGTATATGTTTCCCGGTGTTCCGCCTTTGCTACGACGAGCCATGGACATTCTAGCGCCCGTATGTTCACTTCCTTTTCAAGGAGAATTTCTTTGATATTTGACTTTCATGTTAATTATCTGGCTGATTGTATTGGTGCCCTTGCCCGAGTAGAAGATCCTCTTATCTTTTTGTTGCAAAAGTTGACTTGACGAATTCTTGGTGCATCATACTGTATATGTTCTTATAACAAATTTTTGTGAAAGTTTGTGAAAGAATCAAAAGTTTTATGTGCTGTAGTGATCTGTATTCATCCGCATACAGGAAGAATACAAGCGCTTGCGGAACTTCGGATGACGCAATGCAAAATTTTCAAATGTTATGACTGAAAGTGACATCTGTCCGAACTGGAAAAAAGTTTCAAATCAATGGGCGGTGGAGGAAAACATTTTAATTTAACATTTTTTCTCATTTACGTGTTCGTCATATTACCTAGATTGTCCTCTTTTGGGCAGATTCATTGAAATTTGCCTGCATTTTTATCATGATCGAATGACGCGTGTTTCCTGATGAGATGTTATTTTATTTTGTTAACCGTTTGCTGAATTTTGCAGAAGCTTTTCCATCACCCGGAATTTTGCACGTGGAATTGCGAACTTTTTTTGGACATGGCGGAGGTGGACGCGGCGCCGGTGCTGAATAAGGCTGTGTCACAGTTTCCGAAAGTTACCTTCGGCTCCTACCCGGTGTTGGGCCACAGCTATTACCGAACCCAAATCACAATCGAGGCGGATGTTCGGGAAGACGCGGAAGCTGCTGAAAAATTTCTTCGGGAAGGGATTTCTAAAAGTAATTACGAATTTTTATAGATTCTTTCAGTTGTTGAACGGATCGAAACATTGAAACACCCAAAATTTATAATTCAAGTCCTCGAGTTGCCTTTGGTTAGTTTGGAACAATTTTTGAAGGCGTTCTCAATACCAATTGAATTCTACACGTTTACATTTTCGTCGTATGAATGTGGAAGCTCAATTTTGCACTTTCTTGCAAAGGTGGGAACCCACCGTTTTAATTGTACTGAATCTCTAAAATGTACTGTGCAAATTCAGGAGTTCTGATGTGTTTTAAATCTTTTGAGAGAAGCGTACGCAATAGTTGGTCCTGTAAAATTTGTACGATTTCAATAATATAGTACCTATAAATGGTAAATTATTACAACTTCAGGAAAACCTGATGGTACCAGATGAGCCTAAGTTTGTGACATACTTCACAAGAATAATTGATTTAAGCTAAGCATTGAAGAAAACTGTTCGAATAATTTTTTCTCCGAATTCAATAAAGTACTGTACTATGCAACGACAAGATGAGGAATTCATAATTGTGTTGAACTTCGAAAAACTCGATGTGAAGTGACAGTGCAAATTCAGGAGTTCTCTACTCACTTCTACTCACTTCTAAATTTTTAATTACAATCTTCCCACTTGTAATTAACAATACAGCTCTAATATAATTTATTCTAAAATTCCGTAAAAATCCTGCTGTACGGAATATTTTTGAGCGATGTGAATCCGCAGGGAGTGTTTCTTGTGCAGTATGAAAGATTGCAATTGTTTTATATTCTCAATTATCTGACGTAAGCTCTATCATCAGTTAACCGTGATTCGTATTTTCAACTCGCTTTCTCAGATCAAATTGTTGAGTACGATCGAAATCCTTACGAAGACCGATGGGAGAAGCTGCAGAAACTGCTGGCCGATCCGAACAAGAAGGAACTGCATGAACCAATTCAGAAGTCTCTGCAAGTGATCGACAAATGCTACAATCAATTCAAGTGCGTCGCTATTTCCTTTTTTCTTCGAGGTTTTGTCTTTCTTTAGGAACGATCTTCCCACATGCATCAGTTTCAAAATATTTTCCATAGTTTTCGAATTTATCTGGACTAATAAAAATGCTTTTAGCTACTTGATTGACAAATTCATAAAATGTTACTTGTTGTGTCCATGTATAGTACAGTATGTTAGAATATTATTTTTGTGGATTTGAGGGTAGTAGGAATTTTCCACTCCGTTTGTATCGAGCTGAAGGAGCGAAAAAAATTTCCTAATGTAATTCAGTTGTTTTCCAATACTCTCTACAGTACTTAGATGTCGCTTCGGTTTTGTAAGGTTTCTGTTTAGTCCAAGATTGCTCAGGTTATTGCGTAATTGTTCATTTTTAGTGATTCATGCGAAATCTTTCTGGCGTTCCTGAAACACATTTGAAAGTTTCATATCCATGTTTTTCAAACCGCGTGTATGCACTCGAGTACCACGAGCCATGGAGTAAGACACGCACCCCAAATTTCATCCCAAAAATTTGGATCCCCGAGTGATAAACGCTCTCTTTTTTTTTTGTTTTTTAATGAAAACACCCTTTTTTTATGAAAACACCAAATTTCTAAACTAAGGGACATCAGAATTCAAATTTGGACATGAAATCAACGTGGATTCAATTAATTTTCAATTTATTTTATTTTGAACAGTACCTGTTGAAAATTTTCCATTATATCCAAGTTTGACGTGCGCCTGAACTTTTAACAATATTTGAAAAATTCATTCCCGCCTATTACGCCCCCTCCCCCTCTGGTTTTTTCTCAATTGAGAAAAAAACGAAGCAATAAACTGCACGTGGTACTCTGGTTAGTCTAGCAAGTACGGTACATTACAGTTCATTATTTAAAACATGAGAAAATACCGCGGTTAGTCAAGAACCGGTACTGTATCTTGTAAAATTGCTCTCTTCTTATTGAAATTTTGATGCGTGCTTGAAAATATTGTACTTTACTTGAAGAAATTAAGCAATTTATTTATTGTCTGTAGACCAGAAGAAGTGTGCCTGTTTTTCAATGGAGGCAAGGATTGCACAGCAGTACTGCACCTGGTGTCCTGCTTCCTCCAGCACAAGTATCCTAATTACCGACTCACGGCCGTGGACGTGATTGAAGACGACAAAGCCATGTTTCCGCAAGTGCACAAGTTCATCGAGGAGACGGAAGTGAGGTACAATTTGGAGTTGCTCACGTACCGAGGTTCCATTCGTGGCGCCTTGGCGCAGTTGCTCGTTGAGCGACCGAGGGTCAAAGCCGCCTTTCTGGGCATGCGAATGGGAGATCCTCACGCAGGTATAGTACAGTATTTTATTCTGAAAAAAAAAAGGTTGGGTAACCTTTATTATAGAACTACTGGTTTTGTAACAATCAGAGAAGCGAACTTTTTTTTTATGGGAAACTAGGTTTCATTGGATTACCATAAGCTGTCCTGCAATTTCCGTAGGATGTGGTACGTCAATGGAAAAGCTTTGTTTGTTTGTTTTTTTTTTCTTCGTGCAGAAAATTGTGGGGAAATTTTCAGAGTTTGGCGAACACCATGCAAAAAAAATTATCTCGTCCACATGTGACGTTCGAAGGATTACTGTATTTTTGAATTCCTCCGAGATTTGAGTGCCTGAAAAAATTGATTACTTCCTCCGATACTCCAGTACAGTGCAAAAGTTTGAAAAAACCTGGATTACCGATTAGGAGTCTTTCTCCATTTTTACTTTGCGTTGAGACCAGACAGCTCTTTCATCCTCTTGAATTTCCTTTTGATAACTTACTTGCAGCAGGCCTCATTTTTTGTTGTTGTCTCGCTTTACGAAAAACGAAAGAGCTGCCTCGTTTTTTTTCTCGCTTTAGCACCAATATTACATTACTCGTAATTTTAAGAACTTTATGCAATGAGCGTTCGTGGGAATTCTTTAAAAAGCTGGTTTATTGATCATCGTTTATTTCTTCGGAATTTGAAATATTTTTGGCAATGTGAGTTTGATTATTTGGGAATCCAAATTTGATCTTACTGTGGATAAAATATTTGCGGGAAGGTCAAGCTGTGTTCATTTTTCTGAATTCAACTGCCTGATCGCTTAGAGACGGGTTTTATCCCTTTTATTACCTTTCTTCGATACATAGAACGTAACGGATAGGTGTTGCCTTTTGATCCCTGAAATAACCGAAGATCATCTACTTGATCCGAGTACGTGACCCAATTCTGATCTGACGGAAGATTAATGCTTCAGCTGTGTATAAGCAAATAAAAGCATCGAATTCTGGACGTGAACATCAGTCGGAAAAGAACCGGAAATTATTCCTTCCTGCCAAGTTGGGTTATTCCCTCAAACTTGATGGTGTTTCCCTCTATAGGTGAAAGTGAAACTGCTACGTTTGCGCCGACGGATCCTGAATGGCCTCCTATGATGAGGGTGTACCCGATTTTGCACATATCTTACAAGGAACTGTGGGATTTAATCCGGTCGCTGTATCTTCCGTACTGCAATTTGTACGACAAGGGGTGAGACCTCAATGACACTTGTTTTTGTGCATGTAAAACATTTTATAGCTTAGAAAATGCTATATTTTCTAATATATATTATATTATATATATAGCCGAGTTTTCACCCGTTTGTATAGTTCTGTTGAGTTTAGCAATCTGATTGATTGTATGTAGAAATTCAATAAAATATCGTCACACTGAAGTTGATGGGGCCGGAAAAACAGTTTCGCTATGAAGAGAAATTTTTTATAAAGCGATTGGAATAACATATTGCTATTGGGCAGGTACCAGGAAAACTACTTCGTTTTGACCAATAATTCGTTATAACGAGATTCTACTGTAAATGATTATTCATCCGATATGAAAAAGTTTCCAAGAATTGATGCAGTATTTGTATTTCAAAAAATCTTAAAATTGAAGCAAAGTCAATAGCACTTCAGCATACATTTAATTCATGTGCGGAAATTAATCAAAATCTGAAAGGTTTTGAAGCATAACTCAAATTTGTATTCTAACTGTTGTTCCCGGTTTCACACTTGATGCTCTCACAAAGCCGGAAAATGCTTTTTTCCATCCTAGAAAACTGCGGTACCTAACATTTTTGTGCGACATCAACTTTTTTTCTAGTCTAGATTTAGTGGACCCGTTGTGCAGGATAAATTCTCTGTGCCAATAACGTCGACAAAAAGAAGAATGAAGTATTTTCCCTCTTTTCTATGCGTTCAACTGACTTTTTTTTTTGAAAACTGCAACGTACTGTACTTTGTTTTTATTGAACGTTTAGTATATCAATTGTTCGTTGGTTGCTAATTCGCTGATACGGTTTATGTGAAGAAAACCAGCTTCAGAATTTTGAGGTGTAACTTTTACTTCAATCCTCTCGTTTGGAAAAGGGCAACTCGCCGATTTATAATACTGTATTGTATACGTGTAATACGTCGCTCTTCGTGAAATTCGTACCTTTCATGATTCTTTGTGTGGGAGCAGGTTTACTTCTTTGGGCCGAACTGATACCACCTTTCCGAATCCTGCTCTGCAAATTTTCCAACCGGATTCGAACAAATTGGGTTATCTCCCAGCGCATCGCTTGGCGGATCCCAAGAAGGAGCGTGATGGAAGGATAAAAACCTTGCCTTCTGCACAAGAGAGCAAGAAATCCTGAACGATTGTTTCTTTCCATCCGGTGGGACTTTCCAGAGTTCCGAGATAATTGTTGAATATCTTTTATTGTACACACGGTGCTTTGGGTTTTTGAATTGGTGGATGAATAAATTATATTTTAATCATTTGAAAGTAAAATTGAGTTTTTTATTTCACTATTGCGAGCCGAACTCGTTGAGCGTGTTTGTTCTTCAATGAGGAAAAGCTGGCCATGCCATGAGTCATTCTGTAACGTGCTTCGCGCGACATCTGTTGCCTATCGGTGTAACACGAATTTCATCCTGTCCCGGTATAATGGAGAAAATTCATCCGAAATTTTGTCATTTCTGCGTTATCTTAGTTGGCTGTCGGGAGAACCACGCCGCAGTGAGATTAAATTGCGGAATATAATTTTCGCGTAACATCAAGTTGTGAGAAACACAAGGCATTTTCGTGGTAGTGCTAATTTCGCGAAGGCTTTTATTGTCTCTCGACAGAATATGTAGTGGAGTGATCAGGGGTTTAACCGGAAATATCCTGTTGATACGTCCCCACGATTGCAGACGAATTATGTATCACTTTGAAGGGGACTTTCGCAAAGCTCCGGATCAAGCCTATCGGACTGCACGAGGAATCAGGATTTTGACGTCTGGGGATGTCATATCCCGGGCTCAGGAAGAAAGGAACAGAAGAGAGGTGAGAAAAAGCGCGCTTGCTCTGCTAAATCATGGTATTTTGTAAGTCCAATAGCAAGAAAGTTTGTTAGTGGGACTTATGAGGACCGGGGATAGCGCAATCTCAGTTTCTCTAAGGTCCTGATTAAGGTAATCCCGGTGGACTTCTTCACTATGGAACACCGGAAGTAGAAAATAATGGGAATTCAATTGTGAAGGAACTCCTTTTGAATCAGTACGACCGCTAAACAATGCTTTGCTTCGGGAATATCACTATTGAGGGAATCGTTGTTGAAGTCTACATGCTTTATCAGACAATTTTTCGACCATGTACGGTAGTTGCAATAATCATTCCTTCCGTTTTCCATATATTTTCAGAATTTCAGGAAAGAAAGCAGAAGTGTATTTGTCATTCAGAAATGGGTACGAAGGTTTCTTTCGCATCGGAAGTTTTGTAGACTAATTATCGCTGAGCAATCAAGAATTGACACCCTTTTGGATCGAGGCCTGAAAGAGGACGAAGCGGAAGCTCTTCATTTAAGATTCTTGCGATTATCGAATGTTGCCTTCTTGAATCATGCTCACGAATATCCCTCTGCATGGGTGAGTGTTTTTCAATTTGTTTATGCAATTATCTAGCTATACTGTGTAAATCCATCAGCATCTTTCGAGCTGCTTGAATTTTGTGGTGTGTTTTTCTTCAGTCCTAAAATTCTGTGATGCTGAGCTTTATGTTCAAATCACGTTTAGCTTGATGCTTATCTGCAAATTGTATGCAATTTATGCTATGAATTGTATACTCTTATTGTTATTTCTTGTGAAGTTCGTGACGGAATAGCCACCGCGAAGTTAGATTATTCCTGATGATGAGGCTTCGAACGTTTTACTGTAGATTAAAGTACAAGATTGTTAACGAAACAAGATACATTATTCCTATTATTTTCCTCATTATTCCTCACATATTGTATACAATTGCGCGAAACATTTTCCGAGAGACTCAACGATCACTATCATTTGTTCGCAGTATCCAGTGGCAGAAATCATCTTCAGGAACGAGCCTTTGCTGTTCGGATTCCGTTTTCGAAATCCGAAAGTATGGAATCCTCTTTTGATCAGAACAGCGATCGGACTGCTTAAAGCATCAATCAATGTTTACTGTGATTCGGAATGGATTCTGAGCACGGAAAAGCGAACAAAATTGCACGGGTTGCTCTCTGCCCTCCACCGATTAACTTCGCCTTCTGCTCGAGTTTTTCCTGTGCAAAACGGAATCGAACATCTAAAATCTTGGATGTCCTTCGTGGTACAAGCCTTGAAGGCACTGATGCCTTGGGGTAATTATTCTTTTCAATTGCTTCGTGGTTGAAACTGCGCCAGTACCGCTTGTGCTTAAATATATATTGGTAATAGATCGTAAAAAATATTTTATGAGAGGCGGAACAGCTTTTGAATTTTAAAAAATATTAATAAGAAAGTATTGGTGTACTTCGTTAAACTAAGGCACGTTTTATTCTTTTTCACAGGGTTCTTCAGTCTGATGGCGGATCTGAGGTGCTGTGCACCTGAAAAACAGGATTACATTTTTTCACCTGCCGGTGAACAAATGCTTCTTGCCCCTTTGTTTTTCCTGATGCATGATGTTGCTTTCGATGACAACGACGTGATTTTGGACGACGAATTTCGGTTAGTAGGTTGAAATTATTTCGAAATTCACACGGTTTTGAGTTTCCTTTCATTCGATCCAGGTCAAGCGTGATGTGTTACTTCGGAGCAGAGGTTCTATGTAATGAACGGATGGATCTTGAATTTCTAACGTGCGAACGAATTCAAGAGTTGTTTCCTGGTTGCTTTCCGTTGGTGATCGGGCGGTTTTCCAAGGCCTTGTCGAAGGAAATGGGAGATATCTTGAGCATGGCTGCTCGTCATTGTGATTCTTTGTCCGATTGGGAATCCGCCCTTACTAGTTTTGTCCGCAACCTTACTGTCGTTGCACCATCATTTTCACAGGGTTTGTAATTTTTCCTATTACAGTAGATCCTCGTTACGACGAATCTCTTTACAAAGAATTATTGCTTTCAACGAATTTGTTTTACCGGTCCCTGTTCAATAGGGACAATGCTATTTTAATGAATTTTTGTTTATAACGAAGCTTTTTAAGGTCCCAAACGCTTCTTTGTAGCGAGATTCTACTGCATTTTCATCTGTTACTTTCGAAAGACGGATTCTGTGAAGATAATTTTCGTGTTCCGGCCGTCGTCTCCATTTTTCCTTACTTTCGGATTCAAAGGTCAAGTACTGAAAGTTTGGAAGTGTTTTCACAGAGCATGTCGAAGTGTCCATAAATATTCCAAATATTGCGGTATTTTTTTCTGTGTAGGAAAAGCTTCTTAATGAATGTATCCTGAATTTGGCGAATACTTTTTAATGTAAACTGTTCCGGTCTGGAAATCTTGGTGTTAGTGTTGAAGATGGGGAATTTCACCGGGAAACGTAATTTCAGACGTGAACAATACCCGAGTCATCGCTGATGTCGCAAAAATATATGGTAAGTTAATAGAGGTTCACAGTGGGTTGGAGTGATTCAGACACTCGGTTACCCGAATTGAGGGACGTGCAAACCGAGTCGCGGATCGAACTTGTGCGCAATTAAGCTGTTTGATGTCATGAAGCCCTGAAGCCTTGAAGCTTTATTCTGCGACTGTTGCAGGTGTTATCACCCGCCCATGTTCTGGAAGGGATTGGCTCATTTGCTTCAGCGTGTTCATGAAGGCTGTGAACTCCTTCGCATCGTTATCCGAGACACTCTCCAACTTCCGGCAAAACGCAGAAAACGGGAACCTCAGCGGTCGTCCGAAGCGTCGGTATTGGCGCAAACCGCGATCTCTCCCGAAGCCCTCAAATAACGTTGTTTCAAGCTACGGTGATAACCTGTCGTTGGACGATAGCCATGACGAGTACATGGACAGTGAAGTTTCGTTCGATTTGACGCGCGGAAGTGATGCGGATGCGAGACGCGAGATTTACTGTCACGTGGCCAAATTTTTCAATGATGTGTACGTCGTTGATAACTTGACTGGGAATCTGTCCGTTTGGATGAAGGACGAAGTGTGTTTGCTGGCATTTTCCTGGGCGATGCACGCCATTTTGATCGCTCGGCGAGATTCAGAAAATGGATACCTCTGCGTCTTGCTCAAGGATAAAATGTGAGTGAAGAGTTTCTTTTCGATCTGAAGTATGCATACGTTTTGTCCATCGACTGCATTTCTATGGAGTTCGAAGGAATTTCCCTGACTGATGTCATCCGACGTGTTGAAATGAAGGAAGACTGAATTAAAAGTGCGCAACATCGTTGAAGAAATAAGGTTTAATTACCAAAATCGTATGTTTTTTGGATCCGCCGGCGTTCAAGTCACTACTGACAACACCAAATGATATAATCTATCAAATCTAATAACGAAGCTGAGATGAAGAAAGTGGTGTTGATCTATGTAATTTGGTGACATATGCTGACCACGAAGTTTCATCAAAATGTCGTTCGATGAGCAGGGAAGTTACAATTTATGGCTTTGATTGAGAAAATCCCAATCTAATGAACAGAGACTTTGTTGAAGACTCGTTGATTGAATTCTGTTGTTGTTCAGAGAATTCTGACTTGAGAATATCGGTACGCGAAGTACTTGATGTTGATGTTCAGTAGTGGACTAAAATTTGAACTGCTGTACTGTATTCTTCGATCGTCTGTCTTATTATTCTCCACGTTTTTCGATGCATTGTGAACTAACAAGTGTTTGTTAATTTCGGCATCAAGGAAAGATTCTAGATGGAATAGATTGAAAATTACATCGCTGAAAGGCAATCTATTGGTCTAACCTTGTCTCGAACTCTAGCCTGTTTGCGTTTTGGAGTCGTGAATTATAGTTCAGACAATCTCCTTTTTTTAAAACCATCGTTCGCAATTTACCCCCGTTTTGTTCCTAATTTACGCTCTTCCCGTTGTGTGGTACTGCCTGGGGAAATTTGCGAATGTTTTGAGGAAGTGCACTGTGTGAAAGTTAGTTTCGGGCAAACATATGTCCATCCAATCTGCTAATCTTGCAGGATGCAGAATTGAAGCATTATCTTGAATTTATCTTTGAACTGCAGTATTTTATGTATGTTTCTCGATTACGTTGTCAGGTTTACCTCATCGGCTAACATAGCCGAGTTGGCAATAAATTTGTGGTCTCTGACGAAGTCCATGAGGAAAAGCAGTCACGTGAGTGTGAATACCTTGTGGGAAGCTGTGCAGAAGGGCGTCAGTTTGTCCAAGTCTGAAGCCGCAGTATTTCTTCCACTCGTCACATGCACTGGTATGTTCATGGCGTATCAGCTCCACTCGGCCATGATTCTCGGAGTACCTTCCAGTCCTGCTTATGGTAAGGCCATTTCCGAAAGATAATTTCGATTTTAAAATGAGCCCTTGTTGGATAATTGATGTGCATCGCAGAGACGGAGGAGGTTGAGCTGTTGGCTGATTTCTATCATCTGAACTATTTGGACATCGTGGAAGAATTCACGTGGCTTGTGAACTCGGTCATACGGACTTTGTACCCTGCAAACACAGTGATGTCGGGTTGGAAGAAGAAGCGAGGCATGGGATTTACTCCTGTCAACTGTTCCCCGATGGAATATGACGTCTGGTCCCTTGTTTACAAAGTGAGTTTAGGTGCCGTGTGTCCTCTTTCCGCTGTTCAAGTCGGCCGAATTTATATTAGATTTTTATTGCATAGTTTACGTTAGAAATTTTTCTCTATGCAGTTGGTCTTTCATGAATGCCTTAAGCTGCGAACATCAACAAAACCGGGTTCGGCCGCTATTTTGCGTTGAGGAGGAAACTTGGCTTGAGAAACAAACCTCAATTAAAGTTTTAAAAAATTCCCGTAAAAATTGCTTTTATTGAAAATTTCTGAAAATAGAGACGCTTATACGTTTTCTTAAAAGAAAATTTTTAAATGTGAAGCGAAAATCGAAATAGAAAATGTAATTCAAAAGGAAAGTAGAACCATGAGGAAATGTGAATTTCCCCTCTGCTGTTTTTCAACAATTTTCAATTAAAAGTTATTACTTTAGTAATTGATATTTTCTCTGCATTCTTACCACTTTTTGAAATTTTCGCACTTATTTTTTCATTTTAACTTGGATTTATTTTCTTTACTCTGGAACCAATGAGATCCCTCACGGGTTACTATGGGGAATTGCGATTTACATAAGGAACGATGTGAGCCGTGAATGATTTTTTTCCAATATCTAGATATGGATACATTTTTACGTGTTTGTGACATCAAATTCCCCGATGGAAACCCAAAATTCAAATGAAAATATAATTCAAAAGGGAATTAAAATCATCTGGCAATTCGAATTTCCTTTCTGTTCCTATGCTTGCATGTTTTTAATATTTTTCAATTGAAACTTCTTACTTGAGATTTTCATCTGTATTCCTGTCACTTTTTGAATTTTTCAAGTTCATTTTTTTTCTTACTTTTTTTTTTTTCTCCGGAACCAATTGAGGGACTTTCCGCGAGTTACCTTGGGTAATCTTGATTTACATGCAAAACGCCTTGAAAAGCGAACCAACCACTGGAATGAATCACGTTCGTTACTCAATGTCACACTTCACTTCTAAATTGCCGAGCAAATGTGTGGTTCAATGGCTTGCCGAGTGATTTACGATAGAGTCCCGAGCCTTATGTTCTCTGTTTTGTGATTGTAAAAAGAAAGACAAGAAACATTCCATTGATGACATTCGAATGAGAACTTGGACTAGTTGAAGTTCCGCATGATGATGCTCTGAGTTATGGTGATACTGAGCTTGAAATGTCGAGACTTGACCCTCGAAAGATGCCGTGTTTTCAATTTTCTCCCGTGTGTCGTAGGCTGGCGTGTCGATGGTGAGAACAGTGTATGATGACGCCTGGAGACTGAGATTGGTGAACAGCAAGGAGTACTGGATAACGTTCAGTTGCCTGAAGAAGTTTCCGTTTCATCAGCTGCGGATCGATTCTGAAGTCATCCCGCGGCTCAACACGTATTCGATGGAAGAAGACGAACCTTGGGAACACGTTACCAGGCGTGACAGTCGTTTCGGTTTTATGGACGCCTACTTGCCCAAGCCGTTTGACGTTGCTTGTGAGTTTTCCGTCATTAATCCTTTGTACAGTACAGTACAGTATATTGGCAAAAAAAATGAAAAGAATGAAGAGCCGATATGCCTTGAAAAAGGAATGAATCAATGCCCGGTTAGCGTCGTGCAGTGTGATTTTTTTTTAAATCTCTTGGGTTTATTCTACTGTTGAGTTCTTCTGTAAATTATGCTGTATTTTGAGGAAACTTGAATGTTTGTCATGTGGCTAGTTTTGTCGGGCGATTCAGCAAGTTTTCATTCTTGAAAAAATTTGTATTTCTATTAGCATCCGTGTATCATCTCTATGTTAGAATGTCGTTACAACAAACTCCGCGGACCTTCGACAATTTATTTTCGATTGAGATTTATAGTTTTTTATTCAAGGCTAAAATTTGTGGAGAACAGGTACTGAAAATAATGCTTTGAAAAGGTTCTACCGCAGATCTGTAAAGCATTTTTTTTTCCTGCTGTTTTTTGATTAAATAATGTGGAAAAATTCACAATGCAGAATATAATTCTCATTTTTAACTTTTCCCGTTTAACATTTTCTAAAATTGTGCTGACCTTACTGAAATTTTAGATCAGAAGTGCACTTAACCATTTGCCACTGCGGTATATATTCCCTGAAATGGAGCAGGAATTTTTTTTTCAACCGTGCTGTTGATTTGAAAAATCTGCCATTTCTAATTTCTGTGATTGAACGAGAGAAATTCCAATGAGAACAGTATGCTTCATCGTTCCTGCAATTCTAAATATTTTGGACTGAAATGTTTGCTCTTTTAATGTTGGTGAATTTGTAATTCTACACAAGTTTCATTGAGTCATGTATGTGCCAATCTGTAAAAATTAGCAAAATGATCAAATTAAAAACATTTGTGATCTTAAGATTGAAAGTGAACATTAGTGTGCTAGAATGAGATTATTATGGGGTGGTTTCTATGAAGAAGCTGCTCTGACCAAGGAAAAAATTTTATCATGAAAAATTCGTTGAAACAAAATTTGTTGATCAGAAATACTGTATCTACTGTACTGCATTACAAACTCTAAATGAATCAACTTTTCGTTGCTCTGTGAAGCTTACTTTTAACGTCAGCTGTCTTTGTTCATCTTTTACAATCAATCAAACGACCGCGAGAAAATCGCAGAAGAAGCTATTTTTTTCTGGAATACGTGGAAAGACCTCATGTGTTATCATGAAAGTTTCCAGGAAGACTCACAGTATTTGAATTATACTTTTTTATTAGTTCCTGGTGGTTGTTCTTGTCCAATCGAGGCCCTGGGATTTTCCACGCTGCTGAATTTGCAGTTCCTTGTGCCTTTCATTGAGCGAGTGCAGCTATTCATGGCGATGCTTATTCAGGTACATTTTCATCTGATTGTCGTGGATTTTATTTCTTTGAATTTAGATCGATGACGATTTCTTACCATTTTTACATTTGTTTTTATTTTATCGCATTCAAGGATAAATCAAATACTCAAGGTGATGCAGCTGTTGCGGGCATCAATGTCTTGGATATTGGGGCAAGAAGAAAGCGGTTTTATGATGACGGATTTGCTGCTATGAAAGGAGGTGAGCTCGCTGAAGTTTCACGTCGATTTTCCATTTTTCATCGAACCGGTGGTGAAAAAAGGGAGCACTGATAAAATTGATATGAAAGGGAAATTCAGATGATCAATATAAAATTCCCAGCCTTTCTGTTTGAGGAGTGATTCGTTCAATGATGCATTTGATGCCAGACTTCCTAAAAACGAGTGTTGATTTTTGGAAAATTTATTTTGAAGCCTGGAAAACTTTGCTATGTTATAGTCATATTGGCCAATTTTCTTTTCCCACTTCCATTTTGATGTTTTCGTTTCTGTGAAATTTCATTTCTGTAAATTTTGGCGGGGTTTTCGAGATCATTCAGGCAGTTAGGAAGAAAAATAGTGTAGTGGCTCCCTTCCTAGCACAAGGAATGGATTTCAAATCAAATTGTATTAATTTCTTCCATTTTCTTATCAAAGCGAATTTTGCATCAATCGTGTTTGTGTCATTTTATAGACTTTCGAAAACCCTTTTGAATGTGTTGTGAAAATTTTATAGACCTTTAATTCGAAAAATTCTCGTTCCAGAACTGCTTCGTGTCTGAAAAATTGTTTTCTAGTCCACAAGCAATTGAATCCTAATTTACTTGTTCCAAGTAAGGTTGCGGAGCACTGATGGAATGTAGGTTGCACGGACTCGAGAACTTTTAAACTCAGCAACGCATTTCTACCGGAAAAATGCATACATTTTTGAAACTTTTTCATGTCCAGAATTTGTCTCGAATATTTGCAGTCGAGGTTGAGGTGAAGCCACGGTGGCGAGTGACATTATGGAACGAGGCAGGGGCTGCCGAAGCAGGGATTGACGGCGGAGGGGTTTTCCGGGAATTCCTCACAGAGTTGCTCAAAGAAGCCGTGAACCCGAACCGGGGTTTGTTTCAGTACACGACTCACAACACCCTGTATCCAAATCCGCTTGCCACCACGTCTGTGGACCAGTCCCACGATCAGTTCCATTTTGTCGGACGAATGCTGGGCAAGGTTGGGTTTAATTATTTTTTTTTTTTTGGGTCTTGGGAAACTGTTGTTGTCCTTATTAATTTATTATTACACTTCTTGATGCTTTTGCTTTCATTCGAGTAATATTTGATGGTAGGCTTTTTTATGCCGATGAGAGGAGCGAAAAATGATTGTGTGTCTGGATTAAAACGTATTGAAATTTTTTAGGGTGAAAATTACTTTCTTTGTGAGGTACTGTACTGTATTTTGAAAAGCAGCCTCAAGTTAGATGATAAGGAGAACGACTTCATTTTGCAGCCGTTTTTTTTTTTTTTTAATAAAGGAAGTGTCCATCTGTAAGAAACTCTTTCATGGCTTATTTCCTGGACATATTTTCAGCAGTTTTTAATAAAGTGAACCTAACATCTGACGTGTTTTCTATAGAATTTCGTGAGCATCTCGTCTCCTATTCCCCGTGTGGTTTTCTTTGACTTGAAATGGGTGTATTTTTTTGCACGGCATTAGATTAGGTAATGATAGTGAGATCAAACTATTTGTGATGAGTTTATTACATCTTAACGATGAATCTCTTTTTAACGAATTTACTTCTGGGTCTCTCCAGCAGTACAGTACTGTAATGTTTTCAAAATGTTATTTTAGGCCTAACATGATCCAATTTTTCTTCGTAACGAAGTTTAATCCCAAGTCTTACGTGCTTCTTTGTAGCAAGATTTTAACTATATACAGTACACGGTTTCGGAAAACCTGCTTGACATTATATCTTAGACTGAATCAAAAATAAAAATGAACAAGTCTTTTATATTTATGGTTTTTTGAGTTTTATGTTTTCTTTTGTTTTCAGGCTGTTTATGAGAACCTTTTGATAGATTTGGCGTTCGCCCCTTTCTTCATTGCGCAATTGCTGGCTGTTCCGTATGAGCCGAAATTGGAGGATTTGCGGGATTTGGACCAAAATCTGTATGTGAGTTCATTTTTGCGGAAGTCCTCGGTCTGTTTTTAAGACATTTGCGATCTTTTTGGTGATGTCAAAAAACTCCGTTTGCAAATTTAATTGTCATTTGTTCGGCTCCGTTCATTTGGGATTCAATAAAACATGATAATTTTCTTCTGATCGCCCGATGTACCCGTTGAGAACTGTTGCTTGTGATTCCATAGATGTCGCGTTCAAATTAAGAGACGGTTCAATTTAAAACCTTCGCTTTTTTTTGACGGCAAAGAAAGTGGCGCTCGTCTTCTGTTTTTATTTATTTTTTTATTTTAGCTCGGTTCCTTTGGGTTCCGTGATGAAATTATCATTTTCTTCGGAACGCCCAATGTTTCTATTTCAAAGTGTTGTTCATTATAGCATAGATGTCGCCTCTATTAAGTTGCAAGATAATTGAAGACCTTTTCGATTTTTTGGTGACGTCGACGAAAGCCGTTCGCGTATTCAATTATGAACTGTTTGGCTCCGTTCCGTTGGATTCTATTCTGAAGTGGTCATTTTCCTTTGAACGCCCGATATTCTTGTAAAAAAAAAATGTTCATGCATCTAATGAAACGTTGCCTTAATTAAACGGCGAATCACTGGAAGACCTTTGTGATTTTTGTAAAATAATCAACGAAAGCCGTCTTCATACTGTATTTGATTATCACCTGACTCACTCCGTTTCTTTGGGCCATCACAAAATGAGTTTTTTTACAACGCCCAATGATCCCGTTCGTTATTGCATAGATGTCACCTTTGAGGCGACTCAATCTAAGCCCTTCGCCTTTTTTGACGGCCGCGAAAGCCGTCTGCTTATTTATTTACTGTCTCATTGGTTCTTCTCTGTTCCTTCGGGTTGCATCACGAATTGTTCATTCTGTTTGAAGCGCCCCGTATTCTCTTTCCAAAATTGTTTCGTGATTAAATAGATGTCGCCGCAATTTTTCTGAATTAGATCCAGGTCGGCTCTCTGCAAAGATCTTGTCTACAACGATTTTCTCTGTGTAACGAATTTTATTTCTAGCTCCCATGGGATCTTTCCCCAAGTTACTGGGTTTTTTTTTTCAACGAAGTTACCTCTAAAGCACATTTTTTTCATTGGTCCCTTGAAGTTTCTTGTATAGAGAATGTCAGAAAAAATCGTACGGAGAGTTCACGTGGATTCTGGACTGCATGTGTAATTGTTGTTGAGTTAGGTTCTGTTGAATAGCTGACTTTGGCTCATATCTATGAAATTCGCGCGAATTGCTGCTTGTTTTTTTTTATTGAAGTTCTAGTGCACATGTGACGAGTAAGCGTGCATATTGTCAATTTATTTTCGAAAATTTTGTTGTAGGTGGTCGGCATCGGCAGTCAGGAAGATTACCAGAGCCCCGTTACAGTGAATAACCGATTCAAGTACGTGAAAGCGTTTGTGGAGTACAAGTTGGTGGAGGAGATCCGTCGGCCGATGGACAGTCTGAGACTCGGGTTCCACGAAGTAATCGAGCCGTCGTGGCTAGCTTTTTTCCGTTCTCCGGATGAACTCATGTTGATCTTGTCCGGCAACCAGGGACCGGTGGACTTGGACAATCTCAAGATGCATACGCAGTATTCTGGTTAGTTCCGTCTTCTGCATTTTTGACCCTTGGATTCCCACCCGATGTTTTAAAATGGGTTTTATGCGTAGTGTTTGTTGCTTGGAAATTGTGTCTTTAAAAAATATTTTAGTTGATTAAAAGTGTAAATGCTTTCAACAGGTGGTTACACCAGTGATCATCCGACCATCGGTTATTTTTGGCAAGCTGTGGACAAATTTTCGTCGGAAGACCGTAAACTTCTGCTCAAATTCATCACTTCATGTTCAAGGCCGCCTGTACTCGGATTTGGGGTGAGAACAGACCTTTTTTCATTCCTTGTATTTTTCTCTGACGGAAAAAAATGCACCGAAGTTCATGAATTCCTCGCGAGAGCATGAATGTGAATTTTTTCGCATCAAGCTTTTAAAATTTTCATTTTATCTACTCTTTTTCTTCTCGGGATTCGCCGGAAGTTTCATGACCGGCATAAAAGCATTCAAGCAGAATTGATCTTATAATTGCTAAAATTTCAGAATTTCTCAAACTCGAAGATCTGACATTTTCGGGTTTTTAACTTCAGGATTATTATTTTTTTTGGCAGTGGGGTTTATATCTTTTGTGATGTTTTCCGATGACGTCCGAAAGAGAGTTTTCTTGTGTAAATCTAGCCTTTAGTTGGTTTCAGGAAAGCTCTAGGCTTTTTTGTGCGTCTGACCTCCTGATAATTAGGTTTTTGACGATTCCGGGAGAATAAAATTTTGTTATCCAGAATTCGTTCTGATCTGTAAATATGTGTTGCGGGCAAACCCCAATGCAATAACAAGGAAGTTTTCAAGCTGTGGATCTATAAAAGAGTTTGATGAAGGAAACACAGAATCAGCCCAGGACAGGGGCTGGGAAATCTCGGTAGAATCCCTAATTAAAAGCGTGAATTATATTTTCAAGAACTTTGTCCCAATGATATATAAGAGTACAGGTATTGAAGTAAAGATCACAAGTTTTTAAGATATGAAGACAAGAATCTCTCAGTCAAACACGCACTGCACCGATGACGGCGAAACTCGGATTGGTGAAGATTTTGATGGGAAAAGGTTTTTTTTATTTATTTCCCTTTCTTGTCCTTGATCAAGGACAAAAAAGTCTTGGAGGCCTGTGATTGGCCTATAACAGTCCATCGAAGACGTCTTGGCGCCAAGGCGCTCGAATTTTTCGAGAGGGGAAACACGTTGGCGGTTTTCTGCTTGGGCGATTTTCTGTTCACTTCTACTTGGCCGGTTTTCCACCCGATAAAGTTTTTTTAGATTGATGGAAAGCTCAGCAAGTCCCTAACAATATGCGTGTTGCAAACTTATTGAGATCTCACTAATTTGCATGATACTGTACAGTATTAGGTTTCTTTGGTACCTTGTGTTTCATCTTTGCTAGCATTAAATCGATTAAATGTATAGATTTTGAAATAATGGGCTAAAATGAGTATTGAACCTCGCGTTTTTTCAAGATTTATTAATTTGTCTCAATCCGGGACGCTAAAATCGATTACAATATTGTAGGTTTTTATAAAACTTTTTTACTGTGCTTGACCCCGAATCCTGGAATAATGAGCAGATGTCGCCTGAATCCATGACATGATCGCACCAGAAATAACCTGAAGAGATTGACCCAAACTAAGCTAATGAACGATTAAAAAAAAATGGACAGCTCATCATCGAAAACCCGGGCGAAACCTGATACGGCGACGTTTGCGACATCTGTCGTTGAAATTAAAAGAAATACTTTTGAAAATTTTGAAACTCGCTCCTGGTTCGAACGGGTGATCTTTTGAGCTTGAAATAAAACTGCTTTTTTTGTTTTCTCTTCGAAGGAATTGAATCCCAAGTTCTGCATTCAACACGGCGGTGCAGAAGACCGGTTGCCCACTTCGTCAACATGCATGAACTTGCTCAAGCTTCCGGAATACTCAAGCGTGGAAGTGATGGACTCGAAGCTTAAATACGCCATCCGATCGGGTTCGGGTTTCGAGTTGAGCTGAACTGAACCTTGTGTCTGTGTATTGGTGACGATGCCTTGCCAAGAAGAGAAGAAAATGAAAGGAGAAAACGAAACCACCGGGGGAAGGATGAAAAAAAATCCCCGAGAAAGAACCATTTTCTTTGTTTTCTTTCGTTCTTTATTTTTTTCTAGCTTGACTTCCTGCGTGAGATGGAGTTTTTTTTTTTCCTGGCCACAAAACGCATTGGAGTTTTTTCAGAGCTTTTTTTCGCCAGTCTTTCGTTTCCTTTCTTCTTAACATGTTGATTATATAACATGGGAATTATTTGAATGCAGCAATATTCAATCCTTTCTCGTCCTCTGTTCAAATGTTCTTCCTCTTCTGGTGAAGATGGAAATGAGGCAGAGTTGAAAATTCACCTTCAACGAAGATTTGAAATGTCCAATTCATGAATGCTAGTGAGATTCTTTTCCTTCATTTTCGAAGAAACTTGTGCTGAATGAAATCGAACTTTTCAATTGTCAAAATCTTGAATCAATCAAGCAATCAATCAATCCAGGTGCATGCTGATGAGGAGAAACTTTGGTGCAGTATAAACGTGTTGACAATTTTTCTTGTCTTGTGTTGCTGCACTTTTTTTTGAAAGTGGTCCTTTCTTGGTGTATTTTTTTTTCAAAGGTCGCATTCCCTCGTTGAATTATTTTATGTTTTGGATGATATCACTGGAATCGTATTTACCAGGAGTGATGATTTTTTCCCCGTACAAGAAGAGCGGTTATTGGGGGGGGGGGGGTTTAATTGGCATTTGAATTATAAGCTGATCCCAAAGACTATGCATCAACTTTCATTCATTTTTATTATGTACTGCTTTGTGAAGTGTGCTGAGAGAGATTTATTGATCTTGTTTCAGGTCGTCAGCTGAGCGGCGTTTATAATTGTTTTTCTGAGTTGACTGGATTTTGAGTTTGAGTGGAAATTTTTCGCAGTTCAGTTGAGAAATTTTCAGAGGTTAGGGAAGCTTTAATTTGATTTTGACTAAATGTCAGATGAACAGAAAGTCAAGGATGACTCAAATTTTCGGATTGCAGGTGAGATGTTCCATTCAGGAGATGAAGTTGATCTTTATCCCGCATAAATACTGAATAGTTGCATTGTTTTTTACATTGTTCTGCTTATCAAGATGTGCAAGTCCGGGTTTTATTGAAACTATGTCTGTCCTGATGAGTTCATTTTTCAACTGTATACAGTATTTTCAGGGGTTCCAATGTACAGGAATACTGTACTGTATATGCTCAAATTGACACTGCATTATTTTACGCTTCAGCTGCATTGACTAACACAATGTCAGAATTAATTCAGTATTTTGTTTTTATATGTTAGGTTAGGTTGAATTTTCTGAGGTTGTATATGGAAGTGGGTTTTTGTCACATCCTTGTACAGTACTAAATGACATATAACTTGTATTCTATCAGAAGTTTTTTTTTTCGATTCAGCAGAATTTTCTCATGAAAATAAAAGTTGCTCACATATATCATTTATTTGAAATGCTTCATGCTACTGTATACTTTTAAGCAAATTTGCTGCTGCTGATGTTGGCAAGCAATTCAGATTAAGTCATATAAAAGGTAGACCCTTGTAGGCGTGTTTTTAGCAATCAATTTTTAAAGCATAGGAAAATGAAGATTGGTATAGTGCTCCATAAGTTGTTTCATACAATGCAATATTTGCCAGAAGCTATTGGTAAAAAAAATTCAATTTCCTTAGTCAAACATGCTGATCTCAAGTACTGTACTGTGATCATTCCCAATTTTCTCCAACAGTATCTTATGTATCCATTCAGTTCAATCTATCAAACTTTTTCTCATGTCTCAATAATTGCCCACTGCTTCATTTTTGTTTACTGGGGGTCAAATTTAAATTTTTATTCATTGGTGTAAAACAAAGAATACATTAAAGTAAATCTTATGGGTTCCATAGAAATACATGAAATCTTCCAATTAAGTTGTTTAAAATAGAATGGAAATAATGTATTGTATTGTACTGTACTTCAATGGTAACCTGCAATTGAATAAATGAGACAAAATCCTTCAACCTTTATCAAAGCGTTGGTTTCTAGCAAAGAACTGTAGTAGTTTTTTGTTCTGTTTTTTTTTAATGTAAACGAGATCCAGCAGCTGTCAGGTGTGTATTCAAAGATACATTGAGAAAAATTTTTATTGTTTTGAGAAGAGCCAGCAGGTTATCTAAACTGGTTGTACATGAACTGGTGTATCCCCAACGTTTGCGCAGTATATATTCAATGAAAGTTCCAGACAGCAAGTAGTGAAAAATATCCCATTGAGGCACTTCCGTCTGCCATTCTTTGCACGCATAAATACGAGGGTTCTAACAAAAGTTCTCGGAGTAGCAAAGAAAATGGCTTACAATTGAGCTGAAAAAAATTTATTCTTCAGGGAAAACTTATTCTTTGGCACACAAAAAAAATATCAGCCTATATTTTTTCTTAATGCACCCTGGCAGAGTTTTGCTCTCCACTCAAAAGATGAGGCGCCTCCAAGGGTTGCCTCCAGGTCATCCAAGGAAACCCTTAAAAAGAATGCCAAGTTGATTTCAAAAATTCTGAGGGGAAAGCTAGGCTACAACAAAAAAAGGGCGCCTCATCTTTTGAGTGGAGAGCAAAACTCTGCCAGGGTGAATTAAGAAAAAAATTCAAACAAATTTGTCAAACTGGGCTGATATTTTTTTGTGTGCCAAAGAATAAGTTTTCCCTGAAGAATAAATTTTTTTCAGCTCAATTGTAAGCCATTTTCTTTGCTACTCCGAGAACTTTTGTTAGAACCCTCGTA